TTAACTTCATTTGTGTTTCTCCTAATTGGATGTTCCTTCCCAGTTTAGGTATCAGTTCGGGAGCTGATCGTGTAAAATATTCCGCGCTCGACTAGTGAAAGTGGGATTTTTTTTCGCAGCACCCCCCCTACAACGAATTTTTAGGTACACGATGTTTTGATCCTCTTCTCGTTTCATTTGGATCATATGATCCGCTTATGTTTGTCCCTTTGGATCCAATGATTCCCCCCTTTTTTTCACTGAGTCAGAGTTTACTTGGAGCAAGCAAGATTCAAAAGAAGAAGCAGCACCACCAGTGAAGTCAAGTCTTGACTCCGGTTCGGCCAATATTTGGAGCCTTCTTTGCGACACGAGCAGGACAAAGAGGAAATATCCGATTTCTGAGTACCCTGGTTTTCAAACCTAAATACCCATTACGATTAAAAAAACAAAACAAAAACAGAGGTCGCTGAATTATTACAGTTAAGAGGCACCTACATTAGTTGCGGGCGGTACCGCTGAAATAGAACCTTTACTTTTTTTCTCTCTCTCTCTCTGCGCGGCGCGAATGATAGGATTACATAACACGTGAAACATGGACGAGATAAAACTGATTTACGAAATGCAGCGGAATCTTCTATTGCACAACTGTAAATTTAGTACATGCAAAGACATTTCCAAAACAGCTAATGCCCGGATGACATCACAAGTGTTCTTAGTGCACCTGGTGAGTAAAAGCTATTTTTATGATAAATAAATAAGGTTATCATTGGGCTCCATAGTCACCGGGACAGTTTAATCAGGGCTTTAAAGTTGCCCTTCAACTGAAATACATCAATTAAGCATTGCTCCCTTGCTAAAATGAACATTGTTGGTCAATTACCGTGTGCAGCAATATTAATAATAATGTAATTTTTTAAATAAAAAAAGTTAATAACGAAGAAAAAAAAGCAATGAATGAATTTGTAAATCATAATATCTATTTTTATAGCATAGTTAAGGTTGCAATAAGTTGGTTCAATAATACAGTTAAATAGCTCATCTCCACTGTGTACATTTGAAGCCGGCACGTGGAAAGCACGGAACTATATATACATACACCGCTGGAGATAATGATTTATAACATTCTTCTGAATGGACTTGGGTCTGGTATGGCCAGGTGGTTAGATCGCGAGTTAGAATCTCCGTCTCACCAAACATGCTCGCCCTTTCAGCCGTGGGAGCGTTATAATATGACGGTCAATCCCACTATTCGTTGGTAAAAGAGTACCCCAAGAGTTGGCGGTGGGTGGTAATGACTAGCTGCCTTCCCTCTAGTCTTACACTGCTAAATTAGGGAGGGCTAGCGCAGATAGTCCTCGTGTAGCTAACAAACAAACAAACACACAAACTGAATGGACTTAGTTTATTTAAGTTAATTATCTTTATTGCTTTCAATAACGACCCTGTCATTTCACATTATTATATTTTTTTGAAACAATACTAAACGTAATATTATTCTTCAGTTCACGTGATATCTGTTATGATTTTATATTGTATATGGTAACTGAACGTTTTAGTAGTCACGCCTCTTGACTGTGAGTTGAATTAATTTCTTCATAAACGTTATATTCCAAAAAATAAAATGAAAACGTTAAAGCATTCATCGAGAATTTCGAAAATAACCGAAAGAACCCTCAATTGCATCCACGCTGGCCACGATCGGTGCATCAGAGTGACTATTCACACCAGAAGTAGTCCGAGATAGAAATAATCTCATGACCAGGCCCATATACTTCTGTTGTTTATTACGAATATTTGTAGTGCAATGGCCAAGTCTGGATGTGTTTACACAGTATTTAAGTATCTAGTTCTTTAAAGATGTAATTGAAGATAAAACCATTTAAACGCAATGTTACAAAAGATGCACGCGCGTGTTGGGTACATAGAAATGTTCACAAAACAAACGCATTATGTTTTCATTTCATAAAACTTCCCGTGGTTCAGCGGTGCATCTGAGGGCTTATAACGCAAAAAATTATGGTTCGATACCCCCGGTGGGCATGGCACAGATAGCCTACCGTGTAAGTACGCTTAACAACAAAGAAAGAAAAACGCAGCGTTTCAGGGTATATCATATTGGCCAATGTTACTGAATGTCTTCTCGCACGAAAGGTTTTTCTATTATCTTCTGTTGTCACTACTGTGAGAGAAATAAAAGCATATTTCCAAACAAGTTCATAGTCTACATATTGGTAGGTTTTTGTAGGTCTTAAGATAGTTAATTATTGTTATCATTTTCTGTACTTAATCTAAAAGACAACAAGAACTTACACATAAAATGTAGCTAGTAAAAATGACAAATAGAAGTGGGTGTTAAACAAATGCCATATGTCAGAAAATTCGTAGCATTACAGCTACCATGATTCAAAGTTTTGTTGTTGTTTTCGGTAATGAAGAGCAAACCACATGGAACCTCAGGTCCACGGTCCGGCACGCCAACCATTGGGTCACTCTTGGTCCGTCAGATATGATCTCAGGACTGTTGTATTCCTTGTATGATCTCGGAACTGTTGTATCCCCGGTATGATCTCGGATCTGTTGTATTCCTGGTATGATCTCGGTACTGTTGCATTCCTATGTAGATCTCAGGACTATTGTATTCCCTGTATGATCTTAGAACTATTGCATTCCCGGTATGATCTTAGGAATGTTGCATTCCCGGTCCACGGTCCGGCACGCCCACCATTGGGTCACTCTTGGCCCGTCAGATATAATCTCGGGACTGTTGTATTCCCTTTATGATCTCAGAACTGTTGCATTCCCTATGTTGTCTTAAGACTATTATATTCTTGGTATGATCTCAGAACTGTTGCATTCCCTATATGATCTTAAGACTATTATATTCTTGGTATGATCTCAGAACTGTTGCATTCCCTATATGATCTTAAGACTATTATATTGTTGGTATGATCTCGGTACTGTTGTCTTCCTTGTTAGATATCAGAATTATTGTATTTCTTGTATGATCTCGGGACTATTGTATTACCGGTATGATCTCGGGTATGATCATATGATCTCGGGACTGTTGTATTCCCGTTATCATATGATCTCGGGATTATTATATTTCCAGTATGATAGCGTGTACATTCTCGCTGCTATGAAACACACTATACGTAAAATATTCAGTGTGTCTTATTTTTTTAGTGACAGTTACTGTGCATGAAAGGCTATTTTCGTGTTTTTTCATACGACTAGCGTTAATTGTTTATTCTAATAGCATTAAGAAATCTTTATACGTTTTGAAATTTGTACAGAAACTGGTATTTAACCACAAAACTTATGAAGCATAGTCAATAATTCCAATGAAATCGGTAAATGAAACATGGAGTTTTAGATTCGACATGTTCAGGTATGCCCAGTACTCGAAAGGCTATTTATATAAAAAAAAGTTGTGATTTATTTTATTTCTGAGATCTTAAACAACAACCCCCCCCCCCCCCCCACGTGGCACAGAGGGATGTCTGTGGACTTACAACGCTACCAACGTGGTGGGCAGAGCACCGATAGCCCATTGTGCATCTGTGTGCTTAACTACAAACAATCTTAACAATAATGATACAAAATTATTAAGTTTCAGCTATCAAGAAAAATAATAATTTTGACAAACACCAAATAGCAACGAAGAAAAAACAGACGACAAAATATTTTTCATTAAACTACTACTCGCGAAGACTTTTTAAACATACGATATGTATTAATAAAATAATAAATACATATACAACTTTAAAAAATAAAAACAACAAGTACAGATAGCCCATTGTGTTGCTTTGTGCTTAACTTCAAAAACAATCAAACTTAAACGACAGTTTCAGTTTAATCGATTCAGCCGCTTATAGGAAACAAAACAAGATTAAACTTCTTCCATTGTCTAACAGGAAACAAAACAGGACTAAACTTCTTCCATTGTTTTTACAGGAAACAAAACAGGACTAGACTACTTCCTTTGTTTTTATAGGAAAGAAAATATGCTAACCTTCCATTGTTTTTACAAAAAACAAAACAGGACTAAGCTTCTTCCATTGTTTTTATAGGAAAGAAAAAAATGCTAACCTTTTATTGTTTTTACAGGGAACAAAACAGGACTAAACTTCTTCCATTGTTTTTACAAGAAACAAAACAGGACTAAACTTCTTCCATTGTCTTACAAGAAACAAAATAGGAATAAACTTCTTCCATTGTCTTTAAAAGAAACAAAAGAGGACTAAATTTCTTCTATTGTTTTTACAAGAAACAATACAGGACTAAACTTCTTCCATTGTCTTACAAGAAACAAAACAGGAATAAACTTCTTCCATTGTTTTTAAAAGAAACAAAACAGGACCAAACTTCTTCCATTATCTTACAGGAAACAAAACAGGACTAAATTTCTTCTATTGTTTTTACAAGAAACAATACAGGACTAAACTTCTTCTATTGTTTTTACAAGAAACAAAACAGGACCAAACTTCTTCCATTGTCTTACAGGAAACAAAACAGGACTAAACTTCTTCCATTGTTTTTACAAGAAACAAAACAGGACTAAACTTCTTCCATTGTCTTACAAGAAACAAAACAGGAATAAACTTCTTCCATTGTTTTTAAAAGAAACAAAAGAGGACTAAATTTCTTCTATTGTTTTTACAAGAAACAATACAGGACTAAACTTCTTCTATTGTTTTTACAAGAAACAAAACAGCACCAAACTTCTTCCATTGTCTTACAGGAAACAAAACAGCACCAAACTTCTTCCATTGTCTTACAGGAAACAAAACAGGACTAAACTTTTTTCCATTGTTTTTAAAGGAAACAAAACAGGACTAACCTTCTTATATTGTTTTTACAGGAAACAAAACATGACTAAACTTCTTCCATTGTTTTTAAGGAAACAAAACAGGATTAAACTTTTTCCATTGTTTTTAAAGGAAACAAAACAGGACTAACCTTCCGTTGTTTTGCTCCTGTTTTATGAAAATTTATTCGTTTAACTTTTCTGTTTTCAGTGACCACATTTTTGATGTTGTGAACAAAGTCAAAACAAAGGGTTTTAACTTCAGCTCACTTTTCTTTGATGAACGGGAAGGAGACGCCGAACCCGCAATGTTCCCAGACCTTCCAGTTGCTCCTGAAGAGACGCAGAAGCACGACGGTTTCCTTATCTACCAAACCTCCGTTCATTACCAGTACAGTAAACCCACTCCGAAGTCTTGGGATTATGGACCTCATACATATCCAAGACACACGAAAGTGACTCATCCTCACCTACTGACGCAGCTCCCATTTCATGCCCACCGGTAAGTGTTACGCATTGAATAAAGGGTCTGCTCACAGATTCTAGAAACGAAAAAACTGGTTACTATTTTTTACCAAATAACACTTACAGTACCCGTGGAAATTCTGGCATAGTATAATTGAGGAGTTAGGAAAGCAGTTATGCAATTAAAGTCCTTTAACTGATGTATATATGACGTTTATGATCTTTTTGTAAAGGAATTGATCAAGGTACTTGTATCAGTATCAGGAGAACGTATTTAACGATGACCTAGATAAAGATAAACCAACTAAGAAGTATATATGCTGCTTGTCTAAAGGCATAAAAATAACAACCCTTACCCCAATAAACCCTTGATCTAATTACTTCAACTTTAAGTGTCAGAATGAGAAATATTGTACTCCAATACTACTTACTCTCACACTGACTAATGTTATTGGCACTTTTATCTGGTTTGTTTATGTGTGTTTGTGCAACATTTACTGAATACATAATTACTTTTCAGGCACATTGTGACACTATATTAAGAGTAAAAAAACACAAAAGCAGACGTTTTTTTTTGGCACAATGAAAGGTAGGCTAACACTACAGACACTAGCATTGATGATGGCATTACTAAAACATACATCAGTGAGATAAGCTTAATTATTTTTAGACTCATTCGTCAACCCAAACGTGTAAAAGTTGTAATATGTATTAACATCTTTCACCAAAACACGTTATCAATGCAAGTTGTAAATTAACTTCTTCAAATCATTAACACCCTCCTCTCCAAAAAATAAAAGGAGGTTTGTTTGTTTGTTTTGAATTTCGCGCAAAGCTACACGAGGGCTATATGCGCTAGCCGTCCCTAATTTAGCAGTGTAAGACTAGAGGGAAGGCAGCTAGTCATCACCACCCGCCGCCAACTCTTGGGCTACTCTTT